GACTTCATGTATAGTATCATAACAACAATCGTAATAGTAATTCAAGCAACCACAACCAACATATATATATATATATATAAATGAAAAAGTTACATCGTGGTATGAATTACATGTTTCCAAATCAATTACAATATGTTGACAAAATGTGAAATGTTTGACGCCTTAACGTCCCATCCTCAAAAGCACTTGGTCACCTGTTTTAGTGATTTCCTGAGAATACAAGTTGTATGAAAAAGTGTCAACACAAAGGTTGGTGAGTTCATAAGCATTTGTACGTAGTTATGAAAACCTTTTTCTTGTGAAAGTATCGTTTGTTCCAGAAAATCCAATATTTTCCTTAAAGTGTGAATGTAGTCTTAAAAAAAAAAACCCAAAGACCAAGACGTATAAGTACTTTCCTTACTTATAGTAAATAATGCAAGTTTAAATCGACATAAACTCGTTTGATTTCAATGAAATCCCCGTAAATTCCTATGTTTGTTAATACTTTCTGTGAGTTATTATAACCAGGCTATGACCTAGATGGCCTGAAACGACGTTCTTCAGGCGTCGGAAATGTTATGACATTTGTCACCCCAGACCTGCCGGTCTAACTGTTGCATGCAGTTCAGGTGTGGGTTTGTCAGACCCAATATAGATCTATATACAACTATCACGCTCTCCCTCCAGGAGACTCTGGTTACAATACAGGACTTATTTGTAAAGTGAAGCGAATGTCTCACAAAGTCATTAACGGAATTACGTGTTGTGTAATGAAAATCCTCTTTGTATAAATGTACCCTTTTGAAATGTATGTATTATGTAATGTATCATAAACTATACCTATTATAGTTTATCAAAACAAGGGAAGTAGTAGTAATGTATGTAAACTATACTTAACATAGTTTATCCAAATGTTTGTATGTAATGAATGTAACAATTTGTTATTTCTATGCTTTATCTAGCAAAATCCATTTGTTAACTGTTGTATGTCCTTATACTAAGACAAAATGTCATATAATGCAATAATATATAATCACATAAAGATATACACCTTGCTCAACATGTTACAAGGTGTAATGAAATTGATAGCATTTTTCTGTTGTTAACAATTTCTATTACTGTTCTTAGAAAATTTGTAGAAAAATCATCAAAGGTCCAAATCAGAATCCGTAAATTCTTAGAGTTTGGAAAATGAGTCTAGTTTGTTCATAAATTTTCTGACGATTTTTAGTGACCTCCAACTTAGGTGAAAACGTCCATAATCACAGACTGGTCCGGATTGGTTCTTGAAATGATAGGCAGTTTTGTAAAAATCACCATAAATTGTAGAAAATTCTTATGGAGTTGTGCAAGTAGCCATTTTAAAGCTAAGAACTTGAACTACTTGAACCTTGTACAGTTTTGAAAACAAAAATGTTTAAGTTGACCAAAACAGTCCGTGAATGGAGTCCAACTTTTCTGATGAAAGCTGTTAGAAGAATTTAGTTGTGTTCTTGGTGTTTTAACTTGTATTCCCCCCTTTAAAAACATAAGAAAACATTAAAATGTATGGGTATGAACTCACCTTGTGTGATTTCAGTGGATGAGTGTTGGAGAAGGGAAGTGTTCAACTCAAGAACACTTGAAGATGCCTTGAAGATTTTCGAGAATCTAACATCAAAGTGATGGAGTTTGTGTAAGCAATCGATGATTGGAGTAGAATGAAGGGTAATAATCACAAGGAGGATGAATTATACTTACCAAGAGTAGAATAAAGCTTGATGATCAGCCTTGGAGTCTCGAAATAGAGAGAAAAAGTTTGAGAGAAAAGTTGTGTTTGATTTTTGGTGAAATGAGAGCAAGTGAGTGAAAATGAGGAGAGAGGTTGATTTGTTCCAGCTCTTAGAACGTGGGAGGGGCTGATGATTGATGAAAAAGTACAAGGAAGTGACTAGGGATGGTGGGGAGGTGTGTGGGTTAGTCATGGAGTGGGTGTGGTGGTTGCTTGTGTCATAAAAGGGGTTTCGGGTCTTTCGGGGTATTTTTCCCGTTCTAACCCCGTTTTAAGCGATTTTTGATCCGGTTAAGGGTCGGGATGACCCGAATGGTTTCAAAAAGTTACGAGAACTTTTGAGAGAGATTTGGGAGAGATTTCAAATAGAAGGAGATAGAGTGAAAACGATTGAGGGAGGTTTCGTTTGTGACCTTTTTGAGTGTCCGTCTTCGCAATGCAAGGTCCGTAAACCCCGTTAAGTCATGTTTTAGTGTCCTACACACTCCCGATGAGTGTGCAATAGTGTTTTATCTCTTTGGTTCATTGTTTAGCATTATCAAGGCTAAGAAAAATTAAACACACGAATTTTCCAAATGATGTTTTCTCATTAAAATAGCGAGTTGTTTAGTAATTACATAGAGTAAACCCTAACATACAAGGGTCAACTGAGTTGACCGGTTTGACTTGTTGACTTTGTTTGACTTTGAATTGACCGGAAATTGACGATTGTCACAAAATTTATATACTGTTTCTGTTTCAGAATTTCTATATCACTTTAACAACAATGGATGATAATAAAAAATTTGAAATTTTTAAAAGTAATTTTGAATGTGATGTTGGTGAAGACAAGAATAGAAGAAATCTGCAAGGAATTGATTTGGTATGTTATAAAACTATTTGTTATTGATAATTTTATTTTGAATTATATTTTATTTAATTATAATATTAAAAATAAAACGCAAGTGTTCTTTCCTATTGTTCAAGGTTTTCATATATATGTTATTGTGTTCAATTTATCTAAGACAAGTACAGATATACTTGACAACAGTACAGCTGGTGAAAATGATTTTGAAGGAAGATATGGTAATATAGTTAATAATCTTGTAAGTATACTTCAAATTTTTTCTAATTTTTTTTAATTATATTTTTTTATGTTTATATATCTAAATTTTTTATATTTTTTAATTAACAGTAAAAAATGTTTGGTTTATATCTTAATGTTATTAACCATTCAATAGCGGAAGAAATGAGTGATGAAAACCTTAAGCCTAAAATAATTAGAATGATTTGGCAAACGAAAAAAAAAATAAAATAGATTGTGGAATGTTCACGATGCGCCATATGGAGACCTATATGGGAGAAAAAGATGGGAAATGGAATTTTGGATTTGGAAAAGAAAACCCTGCTAAAAAAGAAACTCTAAATTTTCTTAGATGTAAATATGTTGCAAAGTTGATATTATCTGAAACTAATGAAATTGCTTCCAAGATTCTTGAGCTTGCAAAAGAATACAACAAGGTTGAAGAAAGTGTAAGGAAAAGGGAAATACATATGGCTAAGAAGATGATTAAACAAAGATTAGAGAATATATAGGAAGCTCAAAAATTTTATATTAAAAAGAAAATACATTTCTTTTTTCAGATAAAAGTACATTGCTATTTGTATAAAATAGTTGATATAGAAATCAGAATGAATTATATTTACATGTGAATCAGATTATAATTGTTCCATGTTCATGAAAATTAAACTAAATATTATTATCATACAAATTAGAATGAATTATAGTTACATGGGAATCAGTTGTAATTAGGACTTGATGGCAAAAAGCCTCGTTTGTCATTAGCAACAATTCCAAAAAAAAAATCTTTAGAATTTGTTAATACATATTTCCAAATAGTCAATAAAGAAATCATTCTTCATTCTAAATATAAAAGTCAAATGGTTATTTACTTTTTAGTCCATAACAGGAAGCACTTTTTTTTTGTTGATGCAATAGTAGTCATTTATCCATGTAAACATGATGAGTGGGAAAATGGTTAAAATTGTCATTTAATTCTAATAATATTGATATAACAAAAACAGTATGGTTATGTGTTAGGAACCATTGATTCATATGTTAAAAACATATTAGTTACCTTTTTAATAATATTTTAGTTATTAAGGCATTAATAGAAAATCCAGGTTAGTAATAAAAAAGAGTGATTTTGATCCTAAAATGAATCACATATAAATTACATTTATTTAAAAGCAAAACTTGAAAATGAAGAGAATTGAAGTACTTTGATTAGCAATTGATGATATATTTACATATAAATTATATCTCATTCACATGTAAATAACATTTTATTCATATGTTAATCACATATTATTCCAATATGAATCACTTATTATTATATTATTATATTATTCAAATATGAATCAAAATGAATTATATTTTATAATATAATCAAAATGAATAGCATAACTCAGTAAAATAGATCTAGATGATAACTCAGTAAATGTCAAAAATCATAAATTTAGCAACTTAATACAGATAAACAACCAAAAACAACCACCAGTATATGGATATTTCATATCGATTCACACAAAAAAATTATTTATTAGAGTATATAATGTTTGTTTAAAAAAAAACAAAAAAAAACAAACACAAGTAATTAAATAATTATTTCAACACCAATAACCCCTACAAAAATCAAGATTCACAACAAAATCCCGTATACAACACTTAACTTAAATATCAGAAGAAAAAACTATTTCTAAATGTTTATTTTACACCAAGAAACTTAAATACAATACCAACATATTATAAATTAAAGCCTAATAATTTCAAAAAATGTTACTTATAAATTTTATTATTTGTAAATTAACACATACAATTGAAATTTTTTAATATAAAATGAAAAAATGTATAATGAATAATAAATAAGAAAGTAAAACTATAAAACAAGCTATAGGATTAAATAATTTTTTTTACATGTTGTCAAAATTTAGGGGCAGAGTTTTAATTAAATAAAAAAGTGGATGTAAAGTTAAAGTATTTAAAAAACACGGGGCTCATAATGAAAATCGAAAGAAACTGGTTCATTTTTGAACATAAATACTTTATGTTCCCGATATTGTCTTTTTCTATCTATCTTTCTCTCTCTGTATCTCTGTCTCTTTCTCCATACTTTCTAAAGTAAAAGCCCTAATTCCTCAAAAAAAATCCATAAATCTTCTTCGATAATTGCTGAATCGAAAGGAAAAGGCTTTGATAGAATCAAAAATGTCGTCAACCAGAACAGATGGTTCTTATCAAGGTAAAAAACTATGTATTATATAATAATTTTTTTTAATCGTAAATCAACTTTACATCCATAATGAGTTTGACTTACCAGATTTCGGAATCCAAACTGTTATTGAACGATTTAAGTTAATAAAATTTAGTTTTAAATGTGATATAGTGTTTTTATTGACTTTTTTTTTAATTTTTTCATTATATTTTAAAGGTCGTTTATTATTATATTTTGACCATTGAAAATGACTTTAGTAATCTCGATTTATACATGCATATGAACAAAAAATAGGAAATATTATCTTTTTATGTTTTTTTAATGATATATGATTTTTTTTTATACATAACAGACAAAAAGAAAGAAGAAAATGTTGAAAAGGAGAGTACGTTAAAACGATTCACAAAATCAACAGCGAGAAGGATATTTAAAAAATGTATTTTTTGATGTATAATAAATTGATTTGTTTTTATATGGAATTTTCTGATTATATATATGCTTATTCATACCAGAGAGCCCTAAACCAAACGAAAAAGGAGTTACTGAAGAAAAAAAATCATCAAAGAATGTACCTGAAGAAAAAAGTTCTCAGAGGAGAAGAAAGAGAAAAGTTGTTTCTTTAATAAGAAAGAAAAAACTTGATGAAAATCAAGATTCCGAGTCTCAAAAAAATCAGATAAAGAGAAGTAAAAAGAAGAAAGTAAATAAAGAATTTGATACAATCCGAAACAGGTATACCTTTATGATTAAACTATAAATTATGTTTTAAACGAAATGTGATTAACATTTATTATGATAAAAAAATGTTTTACTAAAAAATGAAAATTGAAATTGAAATTGAGTGATCATATATTATAGAAGACAACTTTCTGAAATCAATCACATATGATTAGACTGGTGGTTTTCATGTGTTTCAAATGTTATAAAGAAACATATAACGAAATACCCATTGCTTTGTCTATTGTGTTTAGGGAAAATTGAAAAAAAAAAACAAGAATGTAATAATCAGATCTGAATCACATATGAATAACAATGTGTTTTATAGTATTATAGTTTCCAATTAGAGGAAGCATTGGTAGTTTGTTATATTTTTATTATGAAAAGTTTTTGAAATCAATCACATATCATTAGTTTGAAAAGGAAAATACCTTATAATGTACTTTTATTTATCAAATACATGTAAGAAATACATTTTATTTACATTACAGATGAATCAAATTATAATTTACATAATATTCAAATGAAATTTTAAAAATAATAACATATTAGTTTGAAAAGGACAATACCTTATAATGTACTTCAAAGTTTTAGTTAAAAAGTAACTAATTTTGTTTAATGAAATATAAATTAAACTAATTAATTAATTGTTGTATTTGATGATAGGTGCTCACCTGGATCTTTATTATCTGTTATACAAGGATTCAATGATGTTCAAAAGGATTGTGTTAAAAAGATGGGTTTTGGGGATCTTCTAAAGATGAAGATGATAGATGTGCCAGGGGCATTAAGTTGTTTTGTTCTTGAGAAGTTTAATTCAAAAACAAAGAAAATTGTTATGGAAGGAGGTGTGATTGATGTTACTAGAGAGTCAGTCAATCAAATACTTGGATTTCCATGAAAGACAAAATTTTCAAATCTTCCATTTAGAACTGCAGATGATAACAGTTATGAGAAATGGACAGAACAATTTGATAACAAGAGCATTATTCGACTTAAGGAGATAAAGATGAAAATTGTTTCGAGCAACATATCAGATATGAACTTTAAGCTGAATTTTTTAGCATTGATGATTAACTCTTTGATTGAAACAAGTTCATCTGGCAAAGCAAACATCTACCCAATTCAATACATAACGAAAAAGACAGAAATGAAAAACATTGACTGGTGCTCATATTTGATAGACAGTTTGGTTAAAACCAAAGAATCTTTTGATCAATCCTCTTCGACAGCCTTTTTTAATGGACCGTGTGCTTATTTAGTGGTATGTATAATAACTTAACTTTTATTTTAATATTTTGTAATCAAATTTTAATCTCAATATTTATAGCTATAATCATATATGATTATAAAATGAATTTTATTTGGTCAAATATGATTTTCATATTTATAACAGATGTTCAATTTGAAAATTTATTTTTTATTTTGTAGTTACTTTATGTAGATAGAGTGAGTTCTGAAGTTTTAAAAGTTAAGAGAACACGTCCAGTCATATGCCACTAGACTACAGAGAAGGTTAAGATGAGAGAAGATTATGAGAAAGAAGAAATTGGTGAATTTGGAACAGAGGAATTGAATGAAGAATTCATACAAGAAGAATTGAATGAGGAGGTAAATTTAATAATAATAATAATAATAATAATAATAATAATAATAATAATAATAATAAACTTTCATTGTTTAATATTTGTAATCTTTTATTATTTATGTTTATATAAACTTTAAATTATTTTTGGTTTAGGATTATCAAGAAATGATTCTGATGAAGTGTAGGAAGTTAAAATTGTTGATTAAGAATAGAATTAGTACTTTCTCACAAAATGTGATATTAAATCATTTGGAAAGTAGTTTAGTAGAAATTTTAAATGATGAGGTTGGAGATGATGAAGATAATGAAGACGAGAAAGGTGATGATAATGAAGAAAATCTAGGTGATAATGATGATCATAATAATCAGAAAGTTAATGATGATGAAGATGTTGAATGCTGTGAGAATAATCAAGGTGGAGATATAAATGATGTACAAAAAAAGTATATGGGAGGCAAAAGCATTCAAGGTGAAGGTAAGAAAATCGAAATATGTCAAAAGATCTTCTTTAAAGAAGTACAAAAAAGACAAAAATGTCCCTCATTGTGAAAAAGAAACTGCATCAAGAGGAAAAGATGTTGAAATGCAGGAAACAAATGATAAGAAAGTAAAGGATCTTGAAAAGGTTGTAGCTAAACATAACAAAAAACAAGAGGAACACAAAAATGCCCCTGTGAAAGGCAAACAACGACAATATTTAAAAGGGTGTAAGTTATATTACATATTTATGAATAATATATATTTGATTATTACAAATTATTAATAAATTTTTTTAGTTATATTCAGGTGTGGAAGGAAATAATGCTGATAAAGAAGAATGAAAAAATGTTTAATAAGCATCTAATCTTGACACAAGGAAAAAATGAGTATGTATTTCTAAATTATTTCTAATCTTGAACAAGGTAAAAATGTAGTGAAATTATGATCTTCAAAAATGTTGTATTTTGAAATAGAACTTTGTATGAATGAGATATTTTTTTAATCACATATTTTATTCATGTGTGAATGTAAATGTGAATGTCAATTAGACGTTATTCATCTGTTAATTTTGAATCACATATGAATGACATATTCGATTCATATGTGAATGTGAATCATAATTTGTTTGAAATATTTCAACCACATATTATTCATATGTGAATCAAACATAACTATGGAGAAGTAACTCATTTCATATTCTTTTTTAATTCACATCTTATTCAGTATATAATTCAGATAAGAATCACATGTGCTTCAGATGTGATTAGCACATGTAATTCAGATGTGATTAGCATGAGAATCATATGTTATTCAGATGTCAATCAACTTGTGTTTTGTATGTAATTTATATATTCATATGTTATTTATATATTATCCACAATCAATTCATATATAATTTGGCTAATTTCCATGTGGCGCATTGAATGTAGTCTAAAAGTAAAATTATAAAATATGTTAATAAAATATTATTGTTATCAATATATCTTAAAATGTTAAAAAAAATATTAACTAGAATAAAAAGTATTACTTGTATCTCATATTGTTTCTTTTTCTGCTTCTTGCTTCTTTCTTAATTCATCTTCAATTTTTTTGGACAATTTCTTCTGTCATGCTTTTCATTTGGAATGATTTTCTTTTCACAATAAGTACAAAATCTTGAATTCTTCCCAGCATTTTCCATTGCTATTTCTCTCTGACTCTTAACTCTCTTTCCTGTTGCCCATCCTTTGTATGTAATATCTTTTGGATTCTTTATTTTAGGTACATCTGGCTTTGATACTCCAATCATTGAATCCAACTTTTCCTTTTTTGTACGATTATCTTTCTTTGGTGGATTTGATTCAACTTTGGTTAGAATTTCTTTTTGCCATTGAAGAAATTGAGTCATTGCTTCAACATCATGTCCAATAACATTGATACATTCGGTGACTATAGAATATGCATCTTGTATCATTCTTTCACATCCACTAATATTGTCAGCAATACCATGACTTTTTATCAATTCCTCAGGTCTTATTATACTTTTCTGCCATCTTCTCAACATAGACTTTGATGCTATATTTTTTTACAAAATTTGATTTCATAACACATAGTATATGCCTGCACAAAATTCCATATTGTTCGAATACCAGGCAAGTACATTTATATGTTTCTTCATTTGGAAATACCTTAACCTGGAAAATATTTATACAAGACACATGTTAATTATATTGTTTTTCATTTAAATTTATACTATTTCATAACTTAATCAAATAAGATTTTTCATTTTAATAACAACTGAATTAATTGTTCATCAAATTAAATTCAGATTTTAATCACAGGTAATTCACATATTATTTACATGTAATTCACATGTAAATCACATCTGTTTTTCATATGATTTACATATGATTTACATATGATTTACATGTGATTCACATGTAAATCATATGAATTAGATGTGATTCATATGTAATTTAGATATAATTCACATATGAATCACATGTGATTCACATATAAATAACATGTAATTAACATGTGATTTATATGTAATTGACAAGTAAATCATATGTGATTCACATATGAATAAATTGTATATCAGATTAAATAACATGTAATTCACATATGAATTTCATTCATAAATAAAGTTATTTAATAACATACATACCTGGTATTGAAATTGTTTTCTGTTGTGACTTTTGAAAATATATGAATTTTTGTTGAAGAACACACTTCTGTTTTGTATATCTTCATCCATTATTTGCTCAATAATAAAGTATGTTTTATGATCTTGAACTCTCTTATATGGTGTGGCTGAGCATGTCCAGACAGAATCCTCTATTTCTTTTTTAAATAATTTGAATATATTATGTGTGTAGAACTTTGATGCTTGTACTTCAAATTGAATATATTTGTTTGAATTGGTGGGTTTTTATTTTTGGAATTAAAGTCGTTTGTTGATTGAAGATTTCTTTGCTCATCCATTGCAGATTCAAATTTGTACATGAACATAATTAGATTTGAATCTTTTGACATGAATCTTTTGAAGAAGCGATTTACACTCTCTGATCTTGATGTTGTCCTCATCGGCCCTGACAATGCATTGTCTCTAAAATAAGCTGGAATCCAACTTGTTCGAATATTATACATCTCTTTCATCCATTTGTTATCTTCTAGTTTATATATTTTTATTAGATACTTCCACTTTTCTTCAAATATATCCGGATCAATACAAGAATTCCAAATTAGACCTTGCATTCTTTTTCTAAAGTTAGTCTCATTTATTATTTTTGCTGAAACCTACAATAAGAAAAGGTTACATTTAATATATAAATGGAAAACATGATATTTAATGTTCACATGTGAATGTTGTTTTAGTATTATAATAACACAAGTGATCAACTACACTTTTGGTGACAATACAGAGTTGGTTTTAAAGTATGTTTTATTTTTATATTTTTGTCGCCTTTATACAACTTGATTTTCTTCCTTAATACATTTATCAAGTAGGTAGTGATTCACATGTAAATAACAAGTGAATCACATATGAATCACATGTAAATCACATGTGATTCACATATGAATCATATGTAATTCACATGCAAATTACAAATGAATCACATATTAATCATATGTAAATAACAAATGAATAATTGGTCATATATCAAGTATGTAGTGAATCATTGGTCATAATAATTGGTCATACATGTCCGTATACATCTCTGTATACAGTTATGTAAACAGATCCCAAAAGTTCAATGCTTTCATCTGTGACTGAATAAATGGGACATGTAAATAACAAGTTTTTAATAAAATTATAAGTCAAATTATAAATGAAAACTTATGTAAACATTATAATACAACTTTACCTTATTTGTTAATTTCTTTCCAACGTGGCACATGCAAAGACGATGAGTTGATTCATTAAAAACGGTTTCTACAACTTTAGCCATAGCTGAATCTTGATCAGTGACCACAACATTAGGTTGTCTACCAAAGCAATTGAGAAAGCATTTGAGAAGCCATGTATAGAATTTCGTTGTTTCTTTAGCTAGCAAACCAGCACCAATTGAGACACATCTTTTGTGGTTATCAATTGCAGTAAATGGAACAAAGATCATATTATATCTGAAAATCATTAAAATATTTAACATAAATACTAAACGAAAATATTTTAATATATAAATATTAAAGAAATTAAGTATTACTTACTTGTTTGTTTTGTATGTAGCATCGAATGATACCACATCATAGAATTCTTTGTAGTTTCTTTTTGCTATTGCATCTGCCCAAAACAGTGCCCTTAGCTCATTATCCTCCAACAAGTAATGAAAATTGAAAGAAGGCACATTTTGACGTCGTAGTGTTAAAAGATTTATCAACATATTTGCATCACTATCTCCTATATAGCAGTTTAAGTCTCTTGAAAAATTTTTGTAGTCGATTTTCTTTGCACCTTGTTTACTGTAACCACCCTTTAAACCAGTAACCATGATATGTGCTTTGCTTGCTCCTATATTTGATGTGCTTAACTGAGTTATAATTGTCTTGTCATAATGATCCAACTTTCTTTTCGACTTTGACATGTGCACTGTACTGTTTGTGTAGAGCTTATTGTTGTGTTTTTCAACAAATGTATTAATTAAAAACTGATCAGTATTTTTTATAAATTTGAAACATATCTTTGCTTAGCAAGACATCATTTGGCTTGGATGTTTTCTTTTTTGCCTGCCTTCTACTCCATTCAAAGTGTCAGCATTTTTCTTATCTGGTTCACCAGCCCTACTACATATCACATACTTGTATTGTAAAATACCATCAATCGTTTTACTTGATGCAAGTCTGCAATCAAATCCTGCTTTCTTTGCATATATTTGGTAAAACTGAATTCCATGATCTAATGTTTCAAACACCATATCTTTCTTTGGCAGGAATGATTCATCAACTCTTGGGATCCACTCAATTGTTTTTGTGCCACAAGGAGATTTTACTTCTATGCAGCTTAATTCATCTTCATCTTATGATTCAAAATGTTTTGCTCCAAATTAAATAATATTAAATCAAATCATATATAGGAAAACATGTCATTTAAAATCAAAGTAATATTTTAGTTACAATCAAGATTAATATTAATAGAAACTTACCTTCTTCATTATCATTTGACTGGGATATTGAAGAAATTTGCTCATCCTCTTCAATAATATCTTTGAAAAATGTATCTTCAACATGTATATCATCATTGTTTATGTTAAATTCACTAGATTGTTCATCAACATCACCTATTAAAATCATATATTTATTTATCATCAGTGTATGTAATTAAAATGAAAAGTATGTTTGAATATAATTTGATTTACATAGAAACACATATTATTCATATGTGATTGGCATATGAAACAAATATGATTCACATGTAAATCATGAGTAAATCACATGTAATTCACATATAAATTACATGTGATTCACATGTAAATTACAAGTGAATTACATGTGATTTACATGTGAATTACATGTAATTCACAAATGAATTACATGTAATTCACATATGATTCACATGTAAATCACAAATGTATTGCATATGAAAAAATGTAATTCACATGTAAATAATGAGTAAATCACATGTACTACATCTTTGTCAAGAACAGGTTCCTAGAAATTGAAAGTGCAGCTTGGCCTGATCTTGAGACAACTGCTATCTCTTCTAATGTCAGGCATAATCTTGGATCAGTATGTAACTTCATACTTTCATGCTTGAATCAAATTAGTTGACATGATTACAGTATTATACTTGGTTTATTCCATATGAACTCTTCTATCTACTTTATAATCAACAATATTAATTGATAATTTTTCAGTTTTTACG